TCGCTGTTATTTTCATTATTATTGAAAGGTATTCATGTTGACATATTTATAAAATGTATGAATGAAAATGAATATCTTCTCAAGTGATATATTTAACCGGTTTCGAATATATATTCGTCAGAAATACGTGTATTTCTGATGAACATTTAATCGAAACCGGTTAAATACATCTTTTACTGTGAAAATATCTATTCAAAGTCATAGTCTTTTCTGCATTATTGCTATAATAACATTCTAACATCGCGTCCGCTAAAATCAGTATGATGTTAGTTACATCATCATTATTGTTTTTGATATTATCAGTATAACAAACTTTTACGACCTCTGTTTCCACATCGGAATATAAAAGAAACTAAAATTTTATTTAATTCATATTTTATCAGGTAGAGGTAAAATAACATTACTTCTCTCTTTTCTTCTTCTTCTTCCTCCTCTCCACCACCTTCTTTCTTCTCCCTCCTTACCTTTCTCCCCCCTCCTTATCATCATTATTCCCCTCCTCCTACTCCAACTCCTCCTCTTCCCTCTCCACTATCACCACCACTTCCCCTTCCCAACTCTTCTCTCCTCTTCCTCCTTCCTCCTTTTATCGCTCACTCCTTCGTCTCCCCGGAACGTCAACGTGAAGAGAAAATCGGAGACTACCAAGTGTTTGTCTTCCCACCCGCTGGAAATCTTCAACCCGTTCAGCGCCGAGACTTTCCTACCATCCTCCAACGTTTCCTGTAAGAGATACCGAGGTCGAGATATTAAACGTTTTGAAAACTGAATACCTATTTTTCATATTGATGGTAAATTTGTTTGTGTTTAATACGGGGATATGTGTAGGGGGTATATATAAATGTGTGTGTGTGTGTGTGTGTGTGTGTGTGTGTGTGTGTGTGTGTGTGTGTGTGTGTGTGTGTGTGTGTGTGTGTGTGTGTGTGTGTGTGGAGGGGGTAGATAAAGATATTTCTCCATCAGTGATAATTGTGTGAATGTGTATGTCTATGTGCATATATATAGTATGTAATCTTTGTGTATGTATGAATGTGTTCATATAAGATATTCGAATATGTATATATTCACTAGGTGTCTGTTCATCTATTAGTCAAATGATATATCTATCCATCTGCTCATCGGTTTATCTATATTTGTTTATCAGTCTATTTCCGGTTACCAATTTATCTCTGTCTATTAGTCTATCTTTATCTAGCCTTGCTACATTGGCTGGCAAAATGATTTATAGAAGTTTTATCATTCTCAATATGATATTTAATCAACAAATTCAGACACACGTTACACACACACACACACACACACACATACACACACATATATGTGTGTGTGTGTGTGTGTGTGTGTGTGTGTGTGTGTGTGTGTGTGTGTATGTGTGTGTGTGTGTACGTGCGTGCATGTGTGCCTCCCTAAGCTTTTGCATTCACTTCTTTGACAAGAATACCTACCTTTGTCTTCAAGGAACTGCTTAACGCAATCAGCCTAGGAACTCTTGAAGAACACTATATCCAGCTGAGTAAAGTGTAAGTAAGACACGTCCTTGTCACGTGGGTTTTGGGTCACGTAGACCATCTGCCGAGGTCAAGGGTCATGAGGTCAAGAAAGATAAGCAGATCATATTGGGTATTGATTTTGACTGAGGCATCTTCCCTACATAATAACAAAGAAAAAAATGTTCGTATATTTCACAGACACTTAGAAACTATTTTCTAACGTAAAATGAGATAATAATGATGATGGTAATGATAGTAATAGTAATCATAATGATAACTATAATGAAGGGAATAACAAATGATAATGATAAAATAAAAATGATAATAACAATAGTAGGGATAATGATAATAATGAAGATAAATGATACTGATGATAAAAGAAAAAATAACAAATGACAATAGTGAAATAATAATAACAGTAATAGGGATAATGGTAAATGATAACTATGATAAAGGAAATAATAACAAATGATAACAGTAAAATAACAATGATACTAACAATAGTAGGGATAATGATAATAATAATGATAAATATATACATAAGTTGACCTTTCTTCCTCCAATCCTCAGTATAACAGAGCCTTATCGACCAACCAACGAGGCGAAGGCCTTCGACAGGAGATGGCGAGGTAGGTGCGTCCTTCCATAGCTGCCACCGCCCTCACGGCCAGGAACGGGAATTCCTGGAATGGGAATCGCGTCTCCCGAGTGCCATCCTCAGGCCTGGACTTCTGGCACCCGTGAGTCAGCATGTACACGATCTCTTGCGTCCGAGTTGTGTCTTAGAGTAAAAATGAGAAGGCCTGTCAGTGATAACATTTACAATTATCAACCTGTACTCGGGGCTAATTTTGTCGTATTTGAGTTATAATGATCAAACATTACACGTACAATTCCCAGTTTTTCTTGTGGTGGCAGCGGCGTGGAAGAGTGCTCCCGGCCAGGAGAAATGGAGCAGTGCACGGTCTTTCTCTTGCGCTTATGCAGTGCAGTAGTAGTGATTCGTGCTACTGTGGGAATAAGAAAAAAAATATATAACATTAGTTTGTGACGGTTCTTTCGTCATAACGGGTGAGAGGTGATAAAGAGTTGTTTGTAGGTAAGGAAGGACATCACGGACTTTTGATAACATGATAGCTCTTACCTTTGGAATAACATTGTTTAGTCAAGATACAGTAAAGGAGAAAAAAAGTAAATAATCGAATAAATTTCAATATTCTATTTGTCACAACTACTCAGCTAAAATTCTTTCCTTTACGAGAAACCAGCTAATGTTTATTCCTAATAACCATAAGTACATCCTGGCAACATCTCAGATCAGGAAATTAACTTTGTGCAATATCCTCAATACCTGACGATATCAGGTTTGAGAATGAGGGCCCCAAGCTCTCTATTCCATCCAATCTTAGAAAAAAATCTTTCTTTTATGAGAAACCAGTAAACCAGTAAACTCCCCAATAACCTTAATTACATGCTGGCTACATCTCAGATTAGGAAATTAACTTTGTATAATATCTTCAATATCTGGCGATATCAGGGTTGAAAATAAAGGCCCCAAGGTCTGTATTCCATCCAATCTCAGAAAAAAACAGAACTGCCAACAAATCCCGTTCTTTGGAGTACCGAGAAAAGGCAGAGCAATGCTAAACAAATCAAATTTCAAACAAACAAACAAAAAAAGAACAATGAATTATTGTATACATCTATGGAAAACGCAAAACACACGCAAGCACAAGTAATAAGTGTCAATTAATTAGAATATGAAACAGAATTGGCGAATCGAAGCATGGGCAGAGTTGCCACGTACCCCTTTCCTAAAACCTGACGCAACAAAGAGGTACAGACGACAGTACAGTTCACAACAAGGTACCATAGGATACCAACACGTAGTCGTAACATCAGGACCTATCGCACGATCAGCCAAGGTCTGACATTGAAGCCAACAGACGGTGTCCTTGGCATAGCAATGTTAACGGTTACGTATTTTAAAACACTTATATATATAAATATCCGATCCTTCAGACAAGTCTTGAACGTATGATAAATGTTTTCTAAAAAAGAAGAAAAAGAAAAAGAAAAAGAAAAAATACATATGTATGTATGTATGTATATGTATGTATATTGTATGTATATATAGAGTAAATTTAATATGTCTGAAAGACTGTAAATGGTACAGAAATTCATGAAAATCAAGTAGAAAGCCTCAAAAGACAAAGATACAAATAAGGTTAAACATAGATTAAGACGTCCATGCATTACAAAGAAAATTAAACTTAATCGTCGACTTCCTGTTTAACTCAGGCTTTCTAAAAATGCCGATTAGTAATAAAAACAGTTGAAATAAAAATAGTTTTGGCTAATGGCAATAACAACTAAAGGAGCGCCTACTGTTACCATGAAATAAAGAAGTTATTCGTATGTCAGTGTTAATGTTTGTCTCGATAATGACAGCTAATTAACGTATCCGTATATAAATAAATATAATTCTCTCATATACAGTATAAACACTAGCGAGTGAAAAGTGTGACTGCTGAATGGAAGGTTAGAAGGTGGTTATGCTTGTTCTCATATGCAAATATTCCCGCTGCTATTGGTTGTAGCAGGTGTCTTAGACCTAACATGCTGTAAGGGAAGGACATCGTTCCCATTGATAGAAATCCAGTTTAGAAGTTTATATCAACTAAATAGTAGTGCTATTCTCATCTGATAAGTGCTATAAACTACATCGAAGTGCTGATAAGATAAGACTAAAGTAATAAACGTGCAATGCGAAAATACGTAAGTGCGGACAGTGAAATGACTCGGTGAAATGACTACTGGTGAAGTGACTGTGTTAGAGCTGTTGTGTTATGATCTAGTGTTATGATTAGCCTGTAATGCGGAAGGTGAGTGAGTGGGGTGAATGTGTATGGCAACATCCATTGTATTGTGTGCTAAGTAAATAATAAATAAATAATAAGTGGAGTTATTCCAAGTATTTATGATTAAACTCATTTCTATCAGTGGCTCGCAGTTTCCCTTCTCATTAAACGCAAATAGAACCAGAAAAAAGTAATATTACAGACTTTGAAATGATAAACGAATAAGTAGTATTGCAACCACACTGATCATATGGAAAAGTAATACATATACTTCATAATAACAAACGTAATTGCTCAAGAAAGAAACAATATCTCGAGTGAAATAGTGACAAATGTTTTCCGTAATAATAACAAATTCTGCGAGTAAAACTGATGAATATATAAATTCCATGATCATTAAATACTCAGAATATAACTCATATCTTGACTAAAGCATGACAGTGTTAAATTCATGATTATTTCCATATCACGATTGTTTGTATGTTAGTAAATAGATATACTCGTGTGTGTGTGTATATATATATTTTTTTCAAAACTTATGATCATTTAATGAAATCTAAATCTAATCGTTCACAAATATAACCCGGTAGTTCCCAAACAACTTACAGATAATTAAAAACATTCTCTGATTTTGCTTTTCATTTCGTTT